AACTAATCGGAATAAAGGCGTATGTTCTGTTGTTTTACAATATGTTTACATAATTAAATATCTAATATTTCTCAATTAATATTCTGATTTTGAAAGTTAGTTGAAACGAAACTACTATTTTAATAAAAAACAAAATCATAAAAGCAAGCTCTGCCAACATTTTTTAAAACTTTCAAAAAATAATAAAATAATATTAATAATAATAAAATAATAAAATTCCTTCTATTAATTTGATTTTACAATAATCAGTTACAATAACTTAGTTAATCGTATATATTTTTGAAAAATGCCATATCATGCCTATTATTTATTTATTTAAAATTTAAATTTTAAAATACTTTCTAAAGCTTGTGAACATATTTTCGAGTGTCGGATCAGAAATGGTATGAAGCGGCGAACGCCAGTCAGTGCCAGGGCAAAGGACATTTCCAATTTATTTACGCTCAGAGGCACTTTGTCTCCTTTGCTTTCATGACGTCCTCTCTCCTTCCTCTCCTTCCTCTCCTTCTCTTCACTGAACTCTCTTTACTTTCTTCCTTGCTTGGCTTGTTCGCCTGTTAGTTCAGTTAGTTCTGCTCGCAAGCTCGCCAGCTCGCTGCGTATGACAGTATTTGTGTAGCCTGTCAAGGGGTCTCGGCTCTACATACGATGCCAGGCACTGCCACAACCTTTGCCTGCCCCTTTCCAGATGCTATTTCGCCTACTTTCCCCTGCACTCGTACTTATTTTTCAGAGCATTGCAAGCTCTGGCTGCTGCGTTTTGACAGCAAAATGTTCTTTCTGGCTGTGTTAGCGTGAAAAGTGTTGAAAGGTGTGAAAATGAAAATTTACTACTTGGCCCCAAGATTTATGCTGAACACCATTTTTCTTGAATCACTGACATGGAGCAGTGGACAGGCAACAAAAAAATAAATCAGCCGCTTGCCAGCGTTTGAAAGGAGTTTAAGTATCCCAGTCGCAGGCCAACTGAAAAATCCATATATTTTAGGAATATTAAGAATGTGGCAAGATATCTATAAAGCACAAACACAATCGGGCAGTCTTTCAGTTTCATATAGCGCTGAGCTCGCTTTAGAACATGGCAGTTCAACATAGCTAGCCATGCTGCATGAATGAAGTACAGTCGTGGTCAGCATTATAGAAAAACAATCAACAATAATTAGAAAACAAATACAGACTTATAAACATGATCTTATATGTTTCGGATCGTTTCTTTGTATGGTTGGGTTTTTCCCCCGGATAAGCTATGAAACAAAGTATTGATACAGAGCTTTCTGAAATTGAAAATTCCAAACTGAATTAATTTATAGGGAAAACCAAAATTCCTAAAAAAATAAGAAAAATCGAGAGAAAAAGTCAGTTCACCCAATCGTCACGAAACTTCACAAGATAAACCTTAGGACTATATTAAACATTGCCACAAAATTGGATCAAAATCGGTTGAGCGGTTTCGGCATCTATGGGGAACAAATGTACATACAATCATACATACCTCCATTTTTATATATCTAATAAGTTAGAGCGATCTATCTTCGCACATTTAATTCTCCTGACCACTCTTGCTAGCCCAGGCTCTAACTAGAAACCACTTTACATCCGGCAAGCACCATTCAATGGCAACAAAAATAAAATGCAACAAAAACAAATCAATTCGAAAAAGTGCAATATCATCAATTACTTGACAAATTTAGTGCCTGCCGGAATTCAATGCGCGGAATGCGAGAGGAGCAGGCAGAAGAAACAGCCCGGATGCAAACAATAAAATACATTTTCCGGTTACTTGTCACCCACTTTTTTACGTGCCACCACCCATGTCAGAGCTGCAGGCGATTGGAGAGCTGCAGGCGAAATCCCTAAAGTTGACATGCCGTTTCCAAAAGGCGTCTGAGCAGCGCCTTCCAACTCCTCAGCGATTGCCAACAAAGCATTTCACTTCTTCTTTTTTTTTATTTTTTGGCCACTGCTTCTAGTTGCTGCTTTACTGTCAGGGCCACTGCTGGCTCTGCTGTTGTTCCTGCTGCTTCTGTTCCTGCTAGTCCTGCTGCTGCTGCTGCTACTGCTGCTGTTGTTGTCCAAAGTCATGTCGACAATAGCTTTAGCTTTGCTTTTGACACTTGGTAAATGGCGCCGCCTGCTGCGCGCATAGCGCTGCAGCAAACATTTAGTCCCCGCCAACAACAACAACAACAACCCATACAAACACAACAAGTGGAGATAGCTGCAAGTCGCTCGAGTCGACTAAGCAGTGCCCTAATTTCCACATTTTATGCAACAATATTTTAAATAATATTTGTTTTTTTTTTTAAATATTGGGTTTATTAGCTGACAGATAACTTATTGCTTAATTTAACTTTTTAGTACACCGTTTTAAATATAAAAAAACAAATTTCACAAGTCTAATAACTGAAGGTTTTAATTAAATCAAATCTTTATCAAAGCATTTTAAATTCTATCACAGACTGTGACTAGTAATTAATTTTTTAGGAACTTTTCTTTCTTTTAAATAAATAAATATGTGAATAAATAAATAAGCTACGTTCAGACACACAAACTTGTCTGCTGCACGTGTGAACCTGATGGGTGATACAAAATTTAATTAAATTGCACAAAGTCTGACAAAATATTATTGCTGAATACCTTAAATTTGATGTTGCAAGGTAATAGGGGGGTCTATGCATAGCTATGCGGAGATGATTCTAAAATCTGAACGACCAGGTGATCATAAGTCTGCAGCAATACCTCGCATAACTCCTCCTCCAACACGATTTAGCTGTGACCGACTAATCTCAAAAAAGAGTCTGTTGCTGACCATGTAAACACGTGTGAACAATTGTTCGCAGTTCACAAAATCTGTCCAATTTTTGCCAGACAAATTGTCTGCTGTAGTGTGAACATCCTACATCCAAAAAGCTGTGGCTTTATCAGACGCTAGACATAGAGTCAGCAGGCCAATTATTGTCTGCGTGTCTGAACATTGCTTTATAAGTATGTCTAACATCTTGAATTCTTGTAACAGTTAGCTACAGTGCTGATATACTTGTTTTCAATTAAACAGGCTTTTGCTGAAAAAGTAGGCTTAAGAAAAACTCAAGTGATAAAAGGAGACGCAACTAGTTTCAATAAATGACTGATTGATCAATTAATTTGTTTACTTTTAAATCTATTGCAGGCAGGTTAAATTTATTTATTTACTTATATTTACGTATATATATTGACTGTCAATATACATAACATAAAACCTACAAAATATTCTTTTAAATATAAAAAAAGTGCCTTGTCCAACAAACATTTTAAATGTACAGACAACCATGCTTTCAAAAAATTAAAGAAACAAACATTATTCCATAGCCATGGAAGTAGCAGTTCATACAGCCATCAAATAATCAGCTAATGTCTTCAAAATCATACCTACTCTATTAATGTACATTTGTTACATACATTTACCCTCAGCTAATACGCCGGTTCAGTGCAGTGTATGGCAGCAGTAACAACAACATGGGTCAGCAACAGCAGGAGTTGTTCAGCACACCCACTTGGCACTTGTTAGGGAAGGCGTAGCTAGTCGAACGGGCAGTGACTTGTTTACCGCTCCACTTACGCGTCGTACTTGAGAACCGAACTGCAGGGCACTTTTCTTGGCAGTTCCTCCCCTCCCCCCTCCCCACCATCACCCTCATCAGCCGACCAGACTGCCGTATTGCTGCAGAGACCATGCTGGCAGGCAACTCTTTCATTCACTTGCAGTGCCTTGTCCTTTTGCCTCTTAAATATATAAATTGTGCCAAAGTGCAAAGTGCAGAGTGCGTGCAGTGCAATGACGTGTAAGTGCAGTGTAAGACCCCAACCCACTCCACCCCCTCTCTCTTTCTCTCTCTGCCTCTCTCTCTCTCTCTCTGCCTCTCTCTCTCTCTCTCTCTCTCTCTCTATGTGTGTGTGTGTGTGGCGCACTTCGGCACGTGGTTAGTTCCCAGTACCAAGTTGTGGGGCATTGGTTTTCATCGAAGCAGAACACATGTCTATTTATCATGTGGATGTCGGAAAGCAGACATTTGACAAGATTTGTTGCAGCATTTTGAATATGTCCAGTTATATAATACTATTGTAGATCAAGCCAGGAATTAGGACAATTTTCAAGCAAAAAAAATTAATTAAAGTAACTGCTTTTGAATGACCGTTTTCTTTAAGTTTTCTCCAATATCATTATTTATTTATATAGTATTTTAAATTAAGACCGTGATCATTAAATATTATATATAATGCTATCTAAATACATTTCTAATTTAATGTTACATTAATTTTTTGGCTCTGTTTTATTATTGTTATTACTAATACACGTCCTACGGAATGTAAAGAAGGTGACAAGATGTGTCGATGTAGCCATGTCCGTCTGCCTGTCCGTCTGTCTGTCTGTATGAACGCTAGTATCTCAGAAAGTATAAGAGCTAGAATAACCAAACTTGGTATATAGATTCTCCTAAGCCCAATAAAGGGCAAGTTTCTTCATTTTTTCCGATACACCCCCCACTCCCCCCCTATTCCCGATTTTCTCTAACTCACCCAATTCTTGGAATTTTTAACCAAAATTCCAGTCACATCCAGTTAGTGATTATGTGTCTGCATATTAAGTTTCATTATCTGTTTCAAGTGATATCTCCTTGCCAAAACATCAGCGGGTATTCAATATATTTATTTTAGTTGCCTATTTGCATTACGGCTGCGCTGCGCAGCATTATTAATAATAATATTTACATATATTTATTTAAATATATTTAGCTATAATAAGATTTATTAGCCCGGGACTTTGCTGTCATTGCGTATGGGTTTTATGGGCTTCTGTACTATACAGAATAGTAAAAAATAAAATAATAAACGTTTTCGAACAACCCTATCAAAATTTTTAGTACGTTTGGTTTAATATTTAAGCCTAAATTTACAAAATTCTACAAGAGTATGGCATCCGCTTGATTCTTAGTCTGTTAGGCATTCAATATTTTAACAACATGTCGTACGGAGAGGCTTTCTTCAATATATTGCTCATTGCGGCCTGCTGCTATGCAATGTATAGCTTAACGCCTGCCGACAATCCCTACGGATATGTTGCAGCGGCCTTCTGTTTTGTTCACGGCTTCTTGGACCTACTCCAGGCATTTGCTGCAGAAGAGTCGGACGAGTGTTCGCCTATCCTTGTGCTATCGGCAAGCATTATCGCGGCCATTCTCCTTCCATTGGCCAATATTGAGTTTTATTTGAAGTCAGATATGTCGGGTGTGGCTTTAGTACATATGATGTCGTTTATACCGCTGCTTTACGACATGCTCGGAAAGATGTGCGATGATTGGGACGCCGCTACAGACACACTAAACGAGTTGGTGCTGACGGGAAACGTATTATCTATCTCCTTCTTGGCTGTTCAAACCGGTAACCCCATGTATGGGGGAATCGCGGCGATCGCCTTTTTCGGACGCTACGGTTCCGAGCTGATTGATAAATTTGTGGATGGCTTGGGTCCATACATTTCAACGTTGTCCAATGCGGCCGTCATTGGTCTGATGACCTATTCCTTGACGCAAGGATGAGTGAAGAACAGATTAAACAACAAAAGAAATCCTAGACTCGAGCGGACTTGATTCTGTAACAAATGTCATTAATTTAATTAATTAATTTAAGTGTGAGCATCTGGATACCAAGTTTGGCTATTCTAGGCCTTGTACTTTCTGAGATCCTTGCGCTCATACAGACAGACAGACGGACGGACAGACGGACATGGCTATATCGACTCATCTTGTCATCCTGATCAAAAATATATGCATATGTACATACACTTTGTGGGGCCTGCCAGGTGTTCTTCTGTCTGTTACCTACACCCTACAAAATCTGAAAGGGTTCATTTTTCATACAATCTTTGTAGCCTGTTTTCCCCCTTTGGAGCTCGCATTCCAATGTTTTTAATAGTTATTCTGCTATTCTGGAATTTGTTTTGTGTAAATACATATAGATAGATTGTCTTGAAGGTGGTGCTGATTATATTTATTTATACTCGTTCCACTGACAAACAACGAATATGAAGAAGCCCCTCTCTGGACAGGATAATCTATACCTTACGTATACTATTACGTATACTATTATTACGCATATTTTCAGTTCTTCTTGGTAAAGTAAATAAGAAGTTGTCGTACAAATAATTCGATTATTTTCGAGTAATGGTTCTATGCATGAAAATTACAGCCCTATAGTAAGTTTAATCCAAGAGTTAGGGCTCATTTATTCTTCTAATAGATACCATTTTTTTTATCAGGCGCCAGCTTTTGTATTTATACATATATTTTAAACTTGCAATAAATAATTTATCTTTACTAGAGTCCACATTTTTAAAATCTATGCTCGAATTGAAGGTTAATGATCAGATCTTTAATGGTGAGATGAGGTGATGGTTTAATTTCGGCGTATTCGAATGGACAGATTATCTGCGAAAAGTTCTAGTTAGAACAGCAAACAAATTTGTAGTCAAGTTTATACTTCTGTAGGTTTACTGCTAAAATACTGGTAATGCCGTACGTAGAGAAGTGACGACATTTAATGAAGGCCTTCTATAATTTTTGCTTATTTTTTTGGAAAGACTTTTGTTGAAATGTGTTCTACTGCTGGGCTGAAAGAATTCTCCACATTAGTTTAGCATTAAGTCAAGTGTCAAAGGGCAATTGTTGTAGAGATTGCCAAGAAAACAATTCCTTACCAATGCCGATCCTGTCACTCCTTCACTCGACACTGAACATGACCTGAACTCGGCAACATGCGCCCACATCTGCTTCCCAATGCTCTGCGAGAGCTTTTTAGTGCTGGTGATATATGGCCAGCCAGCTACCACCTTCAGCTGCCCAGCCATGTTGCTTGATAGATTGTCTAAATGTGCTACGTATGAATGGATAGATGAGCGAGCAGCGTGTGTGCATGTTGAGTACCCAGCGACGATGCTGCCAGTCAGTCAGTCAGTCAGTCCGTCTGCCTGCCTGCCTGTACTGACGCTTGAGATTGATGGCCGAAATGGCTGTTGAAACAACGAGCAGACTGCGCAGAGCGCACAGCGCTCAATGAAGAAAAATAATCACCAACATCATTTATTTTCCGTTTTGCCTGCGCGCGTCGTCAACGTCGTCGTAGGCCACATCAATCTTTGGTGCAAAAAAAAAAACAAAAGTAAAAGAAGTAACAACAACAACAGCAACTAGCGGGCATGTTGATGTGTACTTTTGAGCTTGACAGCTTTTGACGTTGAGGCGCTGGCCGAGCTCACCAAGCCTGGGGTGAGCTGTGAGCTGTGAGCTTTGCTTCGGCAGGGCAGCCAGCAGTCAGCTGACAGACGACTTTTGACGTTTGCTGCAATTAACAGGCGCTGCTTTAGTGCCTGCCCTCCCACTCCCCCCTCCCCCTTCCCGCCAAACGCCAAGACATAACACCGACACTCTGGCACTCTGACAGTCTGACAGTGACAGCACAGCGCAAGCAGTGTTGAAAAATTATCTGTGCTGTGCAGGTGGAAATGGCAAAGTGTTGGTTAATGACAACGCGAACATGACGTCTTGCCCCCCACGCCAACAGCTCTTGTGTTCTTCATGTCAAGTAATTTAAATCATTAATAAGTATTTCCGAGACCGACCCCACGCACGCATACTCGTACACATCACGCATATAGTGTTGGCATGAAGATTGTGAGGGTCGAAAGATAGAAGCAATTGGCATTGGTAAATAGAGATGGTTCCGTGAGAGAAAACTCTTTGAAAACAGCAGGTGAAAATGTAATGTCTACTCAAGGTTTTACCTTTACATTCCCTAGTTCATCTGATCTGATATTTAATTTATGATTTAAATAATGAAGTCAAGGGGAACAATAAGTTCCTTAAACATCAATTCTTTTAACTCTTCATAATTGTTAAAAGCGTTTTAATTTTTAGAATGAATGAATGATAAATATTTTTTTTAACTTAACTTAAATTAAACTTATAGAAAAATACAAATACAGCTTAAACTGTTAGTGTTTAGTCCTATTGAATTATTTATTTCATTTAGTAATTAATTATTTATACTTTATATAAATGAATGATAGAGGATTGGATTGGATAGATTTCGCCTAAATCTCTGAAGTCTTTCTAGATTTTGATTTCTACCTGATAATATACACCTAATTGTGTTTTTACACGGTAGATTGGTTCCAGAAACAACCGTGTAAAAAAAGACATTGGTTCGTTATCTCTAAAGAAATATATATATTAATTTTCAAACCGAGCTATATCAAAATCGTATTAAAAAGGTATTATTAAAAAACATATAATTTCGACGCAGATGTTAAACAAGTTGACTTAAATGGAAGTTTAATGGTTTGAACTGTTTGGAAATCGATTAATGGATTGATCGTGGAAGGGTACCTTCCCCAGTAACTTTGTAGATGGGGCTAATTTTTTAAGTCTTTATTCAATTACATCAAAAAGCGTTCAAAGTTCTAAGCAATTATGTGAATTCTTATGCTGTTATTCATAAAAAATAGTTTGTGTGTTTGTTTAATTCGATTCCTTTTAAAAAGCTGGTGTTTGGCATCTTTAAAACATTATAAACATGAATAATTAAATACTTAAAACGATTTTCTCCCATCTGACTACTTACTATGTTCATAGTAATAGACTTTGTTCTTTCGACAATTGAATATGATATTTTTGGAGTTGCTGTCTTACTCTCTCCACTAAATATATTGCCTCGTCAGCAGTTTATTTTTTTATATTAAATATTTTCATCTCTTTATGTTCCATAAATTTTGTGTTGCGAAAAAGAAGACAACAATGAAACATTTCTCAATCGTGGAGGTAGGTTTTATTTACACACAACATTATTGCGTTTATTTTCCATGATTTCGCTAATAGATCGTGCAGTTAAATCTAGAGAAATCGATGATCATACTGCCAAACAAACTATGGAACCGTCAGAAACAAACAGAAAACTTTATGCACAGGGAAAATATGCTATTAAGAATACTAATAACATATTACATATATACGAGTATGTATGTATTATATTCATGGGCAATCCGAGCCAAATAGTATACCAGCCTATTTGGTATATGTATTTGTAAAATATTTCAAATTATTCTAAACTTGCACAAGTGTTTACAATTTTTAAATCCCTTGATCAGATCAATTTAACTTAGAGTAGCTTTTATTCGCATAATAGTGCTTTTTAATATACTATATGAATATTTGTTACAAATATCGCCAGAAATATTACCAGATTTCACTTTTCAAAATGAAATGCTGAAAATGAAAACTGAATAGACTTCTCAAAGCAACTAAATTTGTGATTTATGATTAGATATTTCATATATTAAAAGCAAAATTAGAAATCTCGCTGTCTCATGGGATTGCTAATCGAGGATTTTGCTGTTCACGTGACACGTAGCACGTCCCTAATCGGAGCTGCTTCAAGCCGCACACTCGTTTGTTGCGACTAATTTGTAGTTCGTCTATATCTGGGCTGTTGTTGTACGCCCATTTGATCCTTCTGCCTGCGCGCCTCGTTATTCCTCGACTGTGTTTGTGACTTGCTTTCGGTTTTGTTGCAAGTCACTTGAAAAGTCATTAATCATTTTGGCATTTGCTTTTTGCGCTATGACGGCGCGTGGAATCGGGCGGAGTTGCGAAAATCCATCACGCACACATTTCCAGAGACGGCAACAGTCGCATCAATGTCAGCGTCGCGACGTCGACGGGAGGGACGCGACAACCTGACAAGCGGAAGAAGAAAAGCCACCCATCAAGTGTGAGCCAGTAAGTTTTCCCCGAGCATGCCATGGGTGACTAAATAATGAAGGTGCTTTGGGATCAGACACACTCGTGTTTTTTCTTAATCGCATTGGTTACTTAGATAGGATAGTTTGCAGCGAAAAATTTGAATAGTCGGACCAGTGAAGCAACTTTTAAGATATTCGGCTATTATGGAAGTGCCCCAAAACAGCATTAAATCTGTTACTTTTAGCGGCAATGTTGTTTGGGGAGATAGGAGAGGTATTGCGTTTTTCCAATCCCCATAACTTTTTGCGTATTGTATGTATATATTTTCTTCGATAAAGGGCTTGGTTTTGAACTGCTTGCTTATGAAATAAATAAATAAAATTATTATAATCTGTTTAAAAGCTATTAGAATTACAATTTATTAAAATTACAAACATAAATAACAAGTCGTCAGATTACGGCATATATTTTAATATATATCGGATGTTTTGTGTACAAAGCAAATATTGTACTCAAATGCATATTTTTCCCTTTCTTCTTTGAATAAAAATATATACATTTGTAGTATATCCGAACCAAATTAGTTGTTGCAACAACAAGAAATTTTTAACTTGAAAAACACTAAATGAAAGCCTTTTTATGTATGTATATTTTGAACATTATTTTTGTTATTTTTGCTCCTTGAAAAATATATAATATCTTTTATTAGAATATGATATAATAACTCTGTGTTTCGAACTATACTTTAATAGTGCAACAAAGAAAGGTTGTACGATTTGTATATTTTCTTGATGTATCACAAT